CTGTTACCCCTCTATCCACACTCCTAATGCCTACCTGTTACCCCTCTGTCCACACTCCTAATGCCTACTGTTACCCCTCTATCCACCATGAATGTTACTGCATCCAAAAACTAAGAGGTAGTTAAACAGGATTTCCCTTTCATAAAGCCATGTGGCCTCCGCCTGATCACATTGTGATTTCCTGATTTTCTCCTGCTCAGACCTCCATAATGGATTCTGTTTTTCAACCTCTCTTTCCACCCTGACCTCAGTATGGATTTTCTTCCTCAGGGCAGATAGCGGAAATCAGGAAAATTCCAGTCTTGGCTGAGCCCTGTCAGGGAGGAAGTGCCAGGAAAGAGAGGATTTTCTTTGTGTGAAGGGCTTGGGGAGCATGGATGATGTAATCCAAGCTAGGAAAGAGTGAGGACCCTGGCCATTGAGGCAGATTGATTAAAAGACCTACCTCATTGCCATGGGACCTTGTTCCAGTTAGAATAGCCCTCTTATACTCACGCCTCATTCTCCCAAATAACTTCCATTATTCTTCATGCCCCTTCGCCCGCCCTCCATGTTTTCCAGGCCAAAAGGTTGGCATCTCAGTGGGGAGGTGATGGCCTAGTGGTATTATCACTGGACTGTTAATCCAGAGACCTAGGTAATGTTCTGGTGACCCAGGTTCAAATCTTGCCACGGCAGATGGTAGAATTTGAATTCAATAAATATCTGGAATTAAGAATCTAATGATAACCGTGAAACCATTGTTGATTGTCAGAAAAACCCATCTGGTTCACTAATGTCCTTTAGGGAAGGATACTGCCATCCTTACCTGGTCTGGCCTACATGTGACTGCAGACCCACCGCAATGTGGTTGACTCTGGGCAATTAGGGATGGGCAACAAATGCCACCTAGCCAGAGATGCCCACATCCTATTAATGAATAAAAAAAAAAGGATTTTCACTCAGATCCTAATGACCCCTCAAGACCTCATGCCTCTTCCATACCCATCCACTTACTGTACAATTCATAGGAACAATAAGTGGAAGATGTCAACGAAGCTTTAAAAGTGCTTTACATTGTACACATTGTGCTATAAAGAACCTTTCTACTACAATAGAAGTGCCATTCGCTAACCCTTTAAAGGTTCAACCATTGAAACTGCTATCTTATGTGAATACACATTCTGAACTTGGTCGCAAAGGTAACAAAAACAGAAATTGATGGAAAAGCTCAGCTGGTCCAGCTGCATACGTGGAGAGGAATCAGAGTTAATGTTTGGGTCCGGTGACCCTTCTTCAGAACAAACCAGGGTCACTGATTTCTCTCCACATATGCAGTTGGACCTGCTGAGCTTTTCCAGTAATTTCTGATTTCCAGCATCTGCAGTTCTTTCGGGATTGTTTTGGTAGCGAAGTTCACCCAGCTCACGCTGTCAATCAAGCAGCAGTTTGGGTGTTTGAAAAGAGTCAGGTTATCTGAGCTCTCAGATACTGCTTCCTGGGATCATGGATCACTGCTTAGAACCATAGACATATACAGCACAGAAACAGACCCTTCGGTCCAACTCGTCCATGCCGACCAGATATCGTAAATTAATCTAGTCCCATTTGCCAGCATTTGGTCCATTTCCCTCTGAACCCTTCCTGTTCATGTACCCATCCAGATGCCTTTTAAATGTTGTAATTGTACCAGCTTCCAGTTCCCTTTTAAATCTTTCCCCTCTCACCTTAAACTTATACCCTCTAGTTTTGGACTTCCCGACCTGGGGAAAAGACCTTGGCTGATCACCCTATCCATGCTCCTCATGATTTTATAAACTTCTATAAGATCACTCCTCAAATCCTAATGCCCCAGGGAAAATAGCCCCAGCCTATTCGGCATCTCCCTATAGATCAAACCCTCCAACCCTGGCAACATCCTTGTAAATCTTTTCTGAACCCTTTCAAGTTTAACAACATCCTTCCTATAGCAGGGAGACCAGAACTGAATGCAGAGTTCCAAAAGTGGCCTAACAAATATCCTGTACAGCCGCAACATGACCTCCCAACTCCTATACTCAATGCTTTCTGTCGTATAATGTTGGTCTGGAATCATAATACATTTTGCAGCACTCATTCTTGTATACCTGCCATGGATATTCTCCTTTCAAAGCGTCCAAGCCACCCACAATTCTCCCACTTCTCTCAAAGTCATCAGATGTATTCCTGTGCTTCATCAGAACTGGCACTTTTCCACACGGATAGGGCACTTTTAAAAGAAAAGGAATCAGTTAGTTTTCCATCAGATTAACTTTCTATAAGTGTACATCCACAAACTTGTTAACTGTCTTCAGTAAGTGTTGAGTTATTTCCTGAAACGGTGTCACCCTGGCGAAAGTTTAGAAAGCCAACGAGCATGAACAGGGCCAGCTACCTTCATATAGTGGATCTGAAGTAAAAACTGAACACAATCTAGAATTAGCTATGGATTTATCAGGCAGGGAAAGAGGGAACATTACTCATAGAACAGTTCTGTCAGGAATCTGATACATGGGGTCACAGAGGTCCTGTTGTCATTGAAATATGCAATTCCTGTTGTGGGTGAGTTACAGGATGCCTGTCATTAATGAACTACAAGACCCCTTTTGTCAAGAAATTACAAGATTCCTATTGCCACTGAGATACAAGTTACTGTTGACAGAGATACAGGATTCCTGTTGTGAAGGAGATATAGGAATCCTGTTGTCAGTGACACCCTGGAATCCTGTTGTCTCTGAGATACAGGATTCTTATTGTCCGTGTGTTACATGACTCCCCCATTCCCGAGATGCAGAATTCCTGTTGTAGTGAACCACAAATGTGCCTATTATCATAATGTCATACAACACGGAAACAGACCCTTCAGTCCAACCAGTCCATGCCGATCAGAAATCCCAATGTGACCTAGTCCCATTTGATAGCATTTGGCCCATATCTCTCTAAATCTTTCCTATTCATGTACCCATCCAGATGCCTTTTAAATGTTGTAATTGTACCAACCTCGATAAAGTACAGGATTCTAATTGTCTCTGAGATACAGAATTCCTGTTGTTACTGAGATCCAGGATTCCTATTATGGATGGGTTATGAGATTTCTGTTATCAGTGACTTGGCTTCCTGCAATCAGTGAGTCATAGATGTCCTATTATTGGTGAGTCATAGGGAACAGGTTTAGCTCTGGGTGGACAGTTGTTATTGCAATGTAGAGGGGAGATACTTCCCTCACTGACACCCAACTACACCTCCCCAGAAATCCAGGATCAGACTCCTCTTCTCTGCCAGAGCTAACCTCACCCTATTGCTGGACCCTATGACCCTTCCCTGTTCCCCTGACCATCCCAGCATCCCTTGCTGGCCCTCACCTGACCTGACCTATCCTGATTGCTAATGCCCCGTTCCACTGCTGCTGCAAGCCCATCCCTAGTCTTAACGCTGCTCCTGAAACCCCCACATATGAAAGTCTCCCAAGCACCCCAACATACCTGCGCAGCCCACCCCCCACCCTTGCCACCTTGTACACTGGCACTCTCCCCAGCTGGGACGCTCCTTACAACGTGCAGTGCACCCTTCCCAGCTGGCACTGTGTCCCACCAGCACACCATGTATTTGGCACTGTTGTGAGGTGGGGATTCCTTCCTCTGACTGTTCTATGCTACGTAAGGCCTGTCAGATTGGAAGAATGACTCCGTAGTTCTGAGGAAGACCTGACGAGAATCTCCTGTCAGAAATGCAGAGTTGATTCCTTTTGTAGGAGAGAAGTGCAGAAGCCCCTGGAAAATCAGCCCTGTAAAGTTCTTGTTCCTGGTGTAATGCATTTATAGAATCCCTACAACATGGGAGCAGAGTATTCAGCCCATCGAGTCCACAGACACCATCCAAGAGAGCATCCCACCCTGACTCACCCCATACCCTATCCCTGTAAACCCACATTTCCATGGCTAGCCCACTTAGCCTGCACATCCCTAGACACCATGGCCAAGCCACCTAACGTGCACGTCTGTGGGAAGACACCAGAGCAAGCCCACACAGACACTGGGAGAACGTGCAAACTCCACAGAGAAGGTCAACCGTGTGTGGAAGTAAACCCAGCACCCTGGGGCTGTGAGGTAACAGTGCTCACCACTGAGCCATCGTGCCATCCCACTTTGTTATTGGGTCTAATGATTTGTTGGAGACAGTCTGGACTGCTGGGTGTCTAGTCGTCGATAAACTTCGTTGCCACCATAGAGTTGGTCAGTAGTGAAGGAACGTCAGTAATGACTAACCTTCAGGAATGCAGGATAATCCATCTTCTCCGAGTCTGTAGCCCTCCGCACAGCTACACTGACGAGAAGAATTGGCCACATCAGTGCAGAATTGTTCACAATTTCCATTCTCAAAGCGACATTCAATTTTAGTGACTTTCTCTAAAAACAAGTAGAGTCAGTCAGATTTAAGCATTCCTCCATTCTGTAAATATATACCCTATAGCAATACAGCTGGGGACTTCTAAAGGGAAAATCATGTTTAAGTAACTGACGAGTTTTTTTGAAGAGGTTAACAGAAAGGCTTAATGTGGATAACGCTATTGATGTGGTGTCCATGGACTTCTGAAAGGTGTTTGATACAGTGCCACACAACAGACTTGTGAGGAAAGTTTATGGGCCATGGTATAAAAGGGTCAGTGGATACAAAACTGGCTGAGTGGCAGGAGACAGAGTAATGTTCAATGGATATTTTTCAGGCTGGAGGAAGGTTTATAGTGGCATTCCCCAGAGGTTGGTATTGGGACCTTTTTGCTTTACCTGATACAGATTAATGATCTGGATCTTGTTGTGCAAGAGACAATTTCAAAGTTGAAACGACAATATGAGACTTTGAAGTGTTGTGAACTGTGAGTAGAACGTCAGAAAAGACACTGACAAATAGCTGGCTGAGGTGATATTGTGGAGCCTCCTCCTCCAGTGAGCTTAGATCTGATCCGTTGGTTGTGGGATCGCTTATCTCTGTCTATCACTTGCTGCTTTCACTGTTTGGTGTGCAAGTTGTCCTGTTTGATGGCTTCACCAGGTTGACACCTTATTTTCAGGTGTGCCTGATGCTGCTCCTGGCATGACCTCCTGCACTCTCCGTTGAACCAGGGTTGATCCCCTGGCTTGATGGTAATGGTTGAGTGGGGGATATGCCGGGCCATGAGGTTACAGATTGTGCTGGAGTACAATTCTGCTGCTGTTGATGGCCCACAGACCCTCATGGATGCCCAGTCTTGACTTGCTAGATCTGTTTGAAGTCTGTCTCATTTAGCACGGTGATAGTGCCACACAACATGATGGAGGTTATTCTCAATGTAAAGTCAGGACTTCATCTCCACAAGGACTGTGCAATGGTCACTCTTACTAATACCGTCCTGGACAGATGCATCTGCAGCCGACAGATTGGTCAGGATGAGATCGAATATGTTTTTCCCTCTTGTTAGATCCCTCACCCAGTCTAGCAGCTATGTCCTTTAGGACCTAACCAGCTCGATCAGTAGTGCTCCCACCGAGCCACTCTTGGTGGTGGACTTTGAAATCCCCCACCCATATTCTCTCTCAAATGCCTAGGTTGAATCTGCTTCTACCTTCTTCATTGTCGACGGTTCCTCAGAGTCAATGATGAATTTCTTCCGTTGTGGGGTGGAGGGTGGTGGGAGGAGGGATGGAGTTCTGCGTTGGTTAAACAGTCCAGTCTGGGAGCCAGGCTCAGGCGGGGCAGCTAGTGTTTGAGGGAAATGGGTGGGACGCTGCATTTCTCATGATCTTCGAACTGCGATGGCTGCTTTTTGTCAACATCGGTCTGAGTCTCCCTGTGGTGGCTTCAGTCAGTTTGTGACTCCATGGGCATTTTCTTTGGCACCGTGGTGAGTCTGGCCCAGGAGTTCAACAGGTGTTAGGGGGGTGGGGGGGGTGGGGTTGAGGTGGGTGGGGTGGGTGGGGTGGCGGCTGGGTGGAGGAGGTGTTCATGTCCTCAAGCTCAGAGCCGTGAAATAGACTTAGTGGACTTTGTTTTAAATTCTCCTTTTTTAAATCTTTTTTTCCCTTTATCATATTATTGTGAAAGGGCTGTTTCCCTAAACGTTTATCTCTTTATTTTCTATTTCATTACTGTGTTTTTGTACTTTTGAAGGTCTGTAATGCTGGACTTTTTATTTCTTTATTTTCTGACGTTTTTTCCTAAGAATTTGTATTCAAGAATCTGTACCCAGGAGGTTTGTACCTAAGATGGTGCTGTAAGTGGTGACATGTAAACTTTTCACTGTACTCATGTGACAATAAAACTAATTCAATATTGGCACTAGGCCTCTACACAGTGGCATTCAAAATGGTTGGTTGGCAGGCAGATCCCCCTTCTCGAAGGGGATGTTACATTTGTTGAGGGAGGTTTCCACGGAGTCCTTGTAGCATTTACTCTGCCGTCCTACTGATCATTGACCATTGCCAAGCTTGGAATGGAGCAATATTCTTTAGGGAGAGAGAAGGGACAATGTGGCCTGCCTATCTCAGCTGATCCTTTCTGACCAGTGCATTGATATTGGGAATACTTCCCTGGGAGAGGACACTCACACCGGTCTGTTGGTGGATTTGCCAGATTTTGCAAAGGCTACTGATAATTCGCCATGGATTTCATAGAATCCCCACAGTGTGAAGGCAGGCCATTTGGCTCATCCAGTCCGTCCCAACCCTCTGAAGAGCATCCCACCCAGACCCACCTCCCTACCCTATCCCTTTAACCCTGCACTTCCCATGGCCAATCCACCTAACCAATACATCCCTGGACACTATGGGGTAATTTCCCATGGCCAATCCACCTCACCTGCACATCTTTGGACTGTGGGAGGAAACTGGAGCACCTGGAGGAAACCCACGCAGATACGGGGAGAATGTGCAAACTCCACACAGACAGTCGCCCAAGGCTGGAATTGAACCCGGGCCCTTTGCGCTGTGAGGCAGCAGTGCTAACCACTGTGCCACCCCAATGCCACCTGGCGGTCAGGATGGGGAAAGTGTTGTGTGGCAGGAGCAGGCTGGTAGAGAGACACTTTGTTTCCTGAAAGATCAGTCTGAGGTCCATTCTCTCATTCGCCTCAGTGAGTGCGTCAATGATGGTTTGTAGTTGGGCTACTGAATATATATACAACAGGCATTACGTGTGTACTGTAGCTCAATGACAAGCTTGGGGTGGTTTGACACTGGCCTGGAGATGTTGAAGGTTGAAAAATTTCACACTCTTCCTGTAGATTATCTCCGCTCCAGCTGGGGGTTTCATGGAGATGGGGTGGAGTGTAGTAACAAGGAAGATGGAGAGAGATGTTGGTGAGGTATTGCAGTCCAGCTTGATTCCAGTTTGTTCATATCAGGCCTGTGGTGGATCCATTGCTGAGGTTCACAGCTTGCACGTCATTGTGAAGCAGGTAGAGTATGGTGATGAAATTCTTTGAGAAGCTGACTTTGAGGAGAACATTTCAAAACATCCAGAGATGATGATGCAATTGAATGTGAAGACATGATGGGTGTTTTTGGTGACGGTCATTGCCAGGCATTTGTCTGGTGCCAATGTTACTTGCCACTTGTCAGCCCAAGCATGAATATTGTCCCTTTTCTCTGCACAATACCTTTGGTAATCTGTACTGTAAAATATGTATATGAACCTCAAAAGAAAAAAATTCCAAAGATTCGGAGTAAAAGGTGTCTCTTCATCTTGGTTTCTGAGTGACATAACCCTTATTTTCAAATTGTGCCCCGGGTTCTAGACTTCCCAGTCAGGGGAAACATCTTTCCTGCATCTGCTTTGTCTGTCCCTTGGAGTTTTCAATGAACTCACCTCTTATTCTTCAAAACTTTACAGAACACAAGCGCAGTTCGCCTAATCTCTCTTCATAGGACAGTCTTGCCATCAGTCTTTGTCGCACTCCCTCTATGGCAATAATATCATTCCTAAGATAAGGAGAACCGAAGCAGCACACAGTACTCCAGGAGTGCTCTAAACGATTTTCAGCATTCAATCATTAGGGATCTGTCTCAGAGTCTATAGAATTCCCAACCCGTTAACTATCTTGATAACCATTTTGTTCAGATCTCTGGGATTTAGATTGTTCAGGTCCCAGGGAATTATTAACTTACAGCCCCATTTAATTTCTCAAGTCCAACCTTCTTACTAATGCAGAGAATCACAGATGCAAAGAATCATTACAGGAGAACGCCATTCGTCCCATTGTGCTTGTATTGGTTCCATTACTCAGCGCCCATCTCCTGTATTTACCCCTGCACACCATTACTATCCAACTTCCCTTCATGGTTCTGTACTCTGTTCGAAGACTTGTGAATGGAAGGATTGATGGGAAGTCTGGGAGTTGGGAATGGATGAACAAAGGGGAAGAGGGAGGATGGAATTTGGGATGGATGCTTGGAGATGAATGAAAGGGAAAAAGACAAGATGAAGTGATCGATTCAGGATGAATGTGGAGGTGTGGCCTGGGATGGAAGATTAGATGCCATGAAATCATGAACAAATGACGAAACAGAGAGAGAAAAATACCAATGGAGAAATGGAAAGATCAATGTATGGTTGATAGATGGCAGATCATATGGATTTGTTCCTCGCTTTCTGGTTTTTAAAGCCATCTGATCCTGAGATGATGAGCTGCAGTGGAGGGGCAGGAAGCGCTGAGGCAGCGGGGAGGCTGCAGAAGGACTTGGACAGGCTAGGAGAGTAAGCAAAGAAGTGGCAGATGGAATACAGTGTGGGGAAGTGTGAGGTTATACACTTTGGTAGAAAGAGTAAATGCATAGACTATTTTCTAAATGGGAAAAGGCTTCAGAAATCTGAAGCACAAAGGACTTGGGTTTCCTAGTTCAGGATTCTCTTAAGGTTGATATGTAGGTTCAGTTGGTAGTTCGGAAGACAAATGCAATATTAGCATTCATTTGAAGAGGACTAGAATACAAGGACAGAGATGTCCTGTTGAGGCTGTATAAGGCTCTGGTCAGACTGCATTTGGAATATTGTGAACAATTTTGGGCTCTTATCTAAAGAAGGATGTAATGGCATTGGAGGGGGTCCAGAGGATGTTTACAAGAATGATCCTGGAGATGAGGGCCTTGTCATATGAGGAACGGATGAGGACACTGGGTCTGTACTGAATGGAGTTTAAAGGATGAGGGGAATCTGATTGAAATTTACAGAATGCTGGGAGGCCTGGATAGACTGCACATGGAGAGGATGTTTCCACTAGTAGGAGAGACTAGAACACAAGGGCACAGCCTCAGAATGGTAGGATGACCCTTTAGAACTGAGAAGAGGAGGAATTTCCTCAGCCCAAATGTGGTTAATCTGTGGAAAACATTGCCACAGAAGGCTGTGGAGGCCAAGTCATTGAGCGTATTTAAGATGGAGTTAGATAAGTTCTTAAAAGCCAAAAGAACCGAAAGTTCTAAGGAAGGGTTACAGGACCCAAAACGTTAACTCCGTTTTCTCCTTCATAGATAAGTTCTTGATTAGTAAGGGGGTCAGGGGTTACGGGGAGAAGGCAGGAGAATGGGGTTGACATACATATCAGCCATGATCTAGTGGCGGAATAAACACGATGGGCCGAATGGCAGAATTCTGCTTCTGTACCAAATTGTCTTACGGACACACAATTCATCCTGGAGGAAGAATGAGGTGAATTTGATTTGATGGAGTGTTACAGACAATGATAGGGAGCTTGTGAAGGAAAGCACCGACTTGAGGAATTTTTTTGGGGAATTGAGCTTCAAGAACGAGTTGCTGCTGAACTGTGTCAGTGACTGCCACATTGTCTCTTACCTATTTCACAATTCCAACCTTCAAACTCCTCTGGGCACGTGCACAGGTAACGTTGAAACATATCTTTACAGGTTCCACCATTTTGGCAGGGATTTGGTACACAGTCATTCTTGTCTGTGTGTGAAAAAATGTTCAGACAAATAACCAAATTACCGATTCATCAAAATGCTCGGGTATTGGGAATACAGCTTAAAATGAGATAAAGGTGAGAGTTAAAGTGCACTTCTTCCTATTTTCCTTCCACTGTTTTGCTGCACTGGAATAATCCAAATCAGTCTCCATTGAGGTTCAGTGTGACTTCTGTCTGGTCTGGTGTTTTCCTTTGAAATTCTGTTTTCTCTTTCATTCCCATTGTTTTATTTATCTGTTCAGTTTCTGTTCCAACCTGGGTTTGTGCTCTTTCCCTGAACATGACCCACTTGGTTACTGTTGGTAACTGCCTGGCTCTGTGCCCTACAGTGCCCTGACACCACCACCCCCCCCACCCACCCCAACCCCCACCCCTATACTAGTGTCCACACTGTTCTGCCCACCTTCTGTCTCAGCCCTTGCTGGAAGAGGGTGAATGGTTTCCTTTTGCTTCTCACCTGCCCTACCTCTAGCGCTGTTACTCAAGGCTGATCCCTTCTCTCAGCGATAGAGACAGTAAGAACTGCTGATGCTGGACTCTGAGATAACACAGCGTAGAGCTGGATGAACACAGCAGGCCAGGCAGCATCAGAGGAACAGGAAAGCCAACTTTTTAGGTCGGGACCCTTCTTCAGAAAGAAGGATCTGAAGGGTTCTGAAGAAGGGTCCCAACCCGAAACGTCAGCTTTCCTGCTCCTCTGATGCTGCCTGGCCTGCTGCGTTCCTCCAGCTCCGCACTGTGTTACCCCTTCTCTCAACAACTTGTGCTGTTCCATATCCCCATGTTTCCTCTTCCTTTTCCCACAGTGTCTCTTACCAATCCTTATAGATGTAACATAGAAAGCATCCCAACTGGGTGCATCTCCGCTTGGTGTGACAATTGCTGTACCAAAGTCCGCAGGAAGATACAGAGAGTCGTGAACACAGCCCAGTCTGTCACAAAAACCCAGCCTTCCATCCATTGGCTCCATCTACACTCCCCGCTGCCTCAGGAAAGCCGAAATATAATCACAGACCCCTCCCACCCTGGTTATAATCTCTTCCACCCTCTTCCGTCAGGCAGAAGATACAAAAGTTTGAAAACACCAACAAATTTAAGAACATCTTCCCTGTTGTTATCAGACTTATGAATGGATCTCTCATATATTAGAGTTGATCTTTCTCTGCACCTTCTCTGTAGCTGTAACACTATATTCTGCATTCTGTTCTACTACCCTGATGTACTTATGTAAGGTATGATTTGTCTGGATAGCACACAAAACAATACTTTTCACTGTATCTCAGCACGTGCGACAATAACAAATCAAATCAAATCAGAATGGAGCTTTCAGTGCATAATGGGAACTTGGCTCCACAGTGCTGTTCCCATCTCAGAAAGCAGCCACTAACTTATTAAAGGTCTATAAAGCCACTTCAATAGAACACTGATCACAAACATCAGGCCAGAAGGAACAATCCGTTTACCAATCCAAGAGAAGAACTTCAGACGTACCATTGTAGGTCTCCCAGAACTCTTCCTGGTAAAAGAAAGAGAAAAGAATGTAAGTGTTGCATTAATCAGTTTGAAACAATGTCACATGGGGCACAGATGTGAAGACAAGTGTAGACTTTAAGTGGCCCTTTAATATGGAGGTAATCAAAGACGTCACAATAGTAGAGAACAGCGAACATTGTTATGGATCTCAACCAAACCCCCTCAAAATATATTCAGAAGATTGTCTGGACTGTAACTTTTTCTTCCTTTAAAGATAACTGTAAGCGGTTGCATTCCAAATGCAATTCAATTGGTCAAGCTACTCGACGTTAAGCAAATCACACTACTTTTACACCACCCGTTAAATTACAGACAAAATAGAAATAAAATAAAAGAATCGGCTTAACTGTAGGTCTATAGAAATGCTTAACAAAATAATAGATATATTAACTACTCCTAATTAACTGTTCCAATGTAGTAACATCCCACAAACATACCCTTTGGCAAAGGCAAAATTGTCTCAAAGGCAGTTGTCTAGTCCAGGAGGAAAGACATCAAGAGAAAACTCTGAGAGAGAGAGTAGCAGGGAGAGATATACTGCAGCTTCTAAACCCAGCTTCAAGACCCCAGCAGCTGCTGCTGAAAAACTAAAACGAAAAATTCTGGTTGTGTGGGAGTTTGACCACGCCCATTCAGGCCGCTTCTATTGCTCCAACCTCAGAAAAAAAAACCCAAGGTTGCACAAGCTGTTTACTTTATGGGCTTTGAAGCAGACTGATCAGCACCTCTGAACTCAACCTTATGTCACACAAAATAAAAAAACAGGACAAAATACACCTCTTAAAGCCATAGTATCATCACAACACTGTGAGTGATGGTATCACATAACTGCTGTTAATCCTGGTCCCAAGTGAAGCACTGTATTCATCTCCTTCCTTCAGTTCCCCATGACAGTGCAGTGACCTCCCCAGGCCTCACAGGAAGGGAGGAAGGCCCCAGTCCACAGGGCTGTGATTTAGACCTGAAGCAGCCACAATACTGTGGGCCTGGAGTCACCTGTAGGCCAGGCTGGGTAAGGAAGACAGATGTCCCCCTCCCTGAAGGATATTAATGACCCACATGAAGCTTTAACAACAACAAATGATAGTTTTATGGCCACCTGTCAAATCCAGCTGAATGAATTGAATTCCACCAGCGACTGTGGTGGGATTTGAGCTCATGTCTCCACAGTGAGAACCCCATGCTCTGCATTATACCTATAAGCTGAATTCTGCACCTACTGCATTGACACAGTCAGGATTATTTCGTAAACGTTGTCTAAAAGCAGAATGACATCTATCTATGCATTTTGAGGTTGGCAACACAGGGTTGTTTGATGGTAAAATGAATGTATTTCTTGATACTGCCTTCCAGTTGTTGCTACTTTTCGGATGTCACATCAACACTGGAACTAATATAACACATTAATCATTTGTGTTCTGGGTGGAATGGCAAATGAGCAAATTGGGGCAGAGAGAGGATTTAAAAAAAAATATTCAAGCTGCATCTGCCAGACTTTATTGCCCATCCATCACTGCCTTTTGAGAAGTTGGTGGTGAGCTACCTTCTTGAACTGCTACAGCCTTGGAGGAGGAGTAACACTCACAGTGCTGTTAGAGAGGGATTTTGACCCAGCAGGTTTGAAAAGAATTGTCCAAGGAGCCTTTGGAAGTGACTGTGGTGCCTCTTTGAGATGGTACACACTGCTGCTACTGTGTTTCGGTGGCGAGAATGCAAGTTGAGGGTGGTGGATGTGGTGCTAATTAAGTGGTCTGCTTTGTTATGGAGTCACAGTGTCACACAGCATGGAAACAGGCCCTTCAGCCCACCATGTCTTTGCCAACCAACAAGCACCAAAGCACCTAATCCCATTTACCTGCACTTGGTCCATAGCTTTACTGCAGTGATGGCTTCCTTTATCAATAATGCAATGCCCCCACTCATCTTATATTACCCCCTGTCACTGATACTGAAACCTCTGTGCCCTGGAATGTTGAGCTGCCAGTCCTGCCCTCCCTTCAACCATGTCTCAGTGATTGCGGGAATATCATATTCCCACATGCTGATCAATGCTGTATGTTCATCCGCCTGATCAGTCAAGCTCATTGTATTAAAATTCGATTTACAATAGATACAATCATCTGATGGACTGACCGAGCATTCTTTTTACATCTGATTGACCTTGCTCCCAACTTTATGTCTACTCTGTGTCCCATCCCCTGTCAAATTACTTTAAAACGCCCCCAACAGCACAAACAAACCTCCCTGTAAAGGAGACAACAAGGTGCAAGGCTGGATGAACACAGCAGGCCAAGCAGCA